GTCTACTAAAACACATGCTCAACAAAATCGCCATGTACAAGACAAAGAACTTCTAAATAATGACCCTTAGCATCTATAAGGGCAAAGACAACAGAGAATAAAAAAAGTGTGATGGAGGAGGTTACTATTTAAGAAGAAAACACTTAGAAACCACCTGCTACAGAGTGCAAGGATTCCTGGTGTGGCGCTATGGGTTAATGCACTGGACTGCAAAGTTGTTTGAACTGCAAAGTTGGTGTTCAAGCTCACCAGCCGCTCCTAAGAAACCCTATACAGGGTTGCTATGGGTCGGAACTGACTTAATGACACTCAACAACAACAACATAGAGCACGAAACCTGAAGGCTATTTGCCTGTGAGTGACTCCAGACAGGCAGAGCTTAATTCCATCATGTGCCTAGGTTTAAATGTTCATATACCAACTTTTCTTCAGCACCCCATGCACTTCTGGTAGCTGAACTGCCAAAGTTAGAAGTGCCTAGACACATCCCTTAATGGTCAACTGGCTGTGATGTCATCCGCTGAGATCCTCAGAAACTGTGAATTTTCTTATCTGCAATAGTCCCCCATCCCTGCTGTCCGTAGGCTGGCAAATGTACTTGATGCATGGCTGCAACCCTCAAGCATGGTTGTGGGAGGTAAGTCCTTTGTTCTTTGTCCCCTATAAAAGGTCACCACATGGATAAAGAACTTTGGAAATTCATCACGTTGTTTATGATTTGCCTCACCCAGGTGATCTATATGTTTGTCTTTGTCTTGTGTTTACTACTGTTTAAGACTTCATTAAGAGTCTCTATAACGAACCTTAAGGTCAGCGGTTCGAAACTACCAGCCGCTCCGCGGGAGAAAGATGAGGCTTTCTACTCCCGTAAAGATTTACACCCTCGGAAACCCTGTACAGGGTCGCTATGGGTCGGAACCGACTCGACGGCACTTAACAACAACAACAACAACATAATATTTATATATCCGAAGATGGGGTCCCTTTTCTCCCCTATAACACAGGCCCTGAGCCCATGAGTTGGCCCAACAGGGGTGTCACACTCTTGATTATTATAATCAACGTGACTATTCCAATGGCCTGACCTATCTTGTCAAATACAAAGCTCTAAATTCCCAGAATCACTGAATCTTTGAGCCAGAACAACCCTTAGATAATCTCTCTACACTTCCCCTAGCTGTTTCTGCATAAATACCTTCTGTGAAAGGAGACTCATTATCAGTTGTAATATTATCCAGTTGGACCCTTACAAATACACCTATCACTGAGCTGAAATCTGCTCTTTATAATTCAGGATTCAAATAAAGTTTCCTGGTGGTTTGCTAAGCAACACAGATGCTGCTAGGTCTTCCCCAAATGGACTCTGAATCCTGATTGCATTGGTTCTGGATAATCCAAGTTTAGCAATTTAGTAGCCGTAAAATGATGGGTTGTTGTTACGTGCCTTCAAGTCGATTCCGACCCACAGCAACCCTGTATAGATTTTCCAAAGAGCAGCTGATGAGCTTGAACCACCGACCTTGCAGTTCAAATGACTTGCTGCCCACAATGCCACTTACTTAAATTCTCGAAGCCTTGGTTTCTCTTCTATAGAATGGAGATAATAATAGAACTGACCTGTTCTCATTATTAAAAGAATTAAATGAGATAGTCTGTGGAAAACTGCATATGGCACAAAGCAGTTATATATCAAGCACTCAGTAGACTCAGCTACTAAAGTTGTGCAATAAGACTGTGGGGGGTCCTTCAAGGCAAAGATTGGATGGAATTTATCTGTATACCATTTTTGCCTAGCAGAGGCTCTGGCTGAATATTTGGTGCAACATAAATGTAATAGCTTTATTCTAGTGCTAAATCCATGAGTTCTGGTGGCACGGGGCTAAAACACTCCGTTGCTGGTCAAAAGGTTAGTGACGGTGATTTGAACTCACCAGCTGCTCCTCAAAAGAAAGATGGGTCTGTCTGCTTCCATAAAGATTTACAGTCTTGGAAACCCTATGAAGGCAGTTCTACTCTGTTGTATTGGTTTGTGATGAATTGGAAGCAACTTGAGGGTAGTATGTTTAATGTGGTGCTAAATTCTACATATACCTGTGTCTATGATAACTCTCCCATAAAAATTCATCCCTGAACTCCTCCCTTGTCACAACTTAAATATTAACCATTGCTATCCATTTAACTCTGAGTCATGGCGACTCTGTAAGTCACAGCAGAATTGCACTCCGTAGGATTTTCGTAAATAGATTGTCAGACCTTTCTTCCAGGGTATCTCTGGTGGACTCCAACTCCACCCCTTTAGTTAGTGGCGTGGTAGGAGAAACACTGGACTGCTAACCATGAGGTCAACAGTTGAAACCTACCAATCCCTCCTTGAAAATCCTATATAGGGTCGCTATGAGTTGGAACTGACTTGAAGGCACTTTACAGTAACAGCAACCTTAATCATTTGTATCACCCAGAGACTCTGCCTCCAATTTAGCCACTCTTTATTACCATTTTCCTAATAAAAAAATTGACTATGATGATGAACAGGTTTCAGTGGTACCTGTTCTTTCTGGACCAGAAAGAAAGACCTAACAGTCTGCTTTTGATTATCAGTCAATGAAAAATCCTACAGATCACAGTCTTTTGATTTGATTCACAACCTTTCGTGAAGACGGTACATGATGAAGCAACATTTCATTTGCTCTGTTGTGCATGGGGTTACCATGAGTCAGGGTCGACTAGAAGGTAGTAAACAACAATCCAAAATCAACCAACTTCTCTTCCCAGGTGGGGTGAACTTTGACTTTAGGCAAAGGTCACTGAAGTCATACTCCAGGCATGAAGTCTGACCCTGGAAGCTATGGTTTATATGGTGAGGGCATGTGGTCCTGTGGACTGCAGGCCTTCCAGCAGGCGGGCTGGAACCTGAGAGACATAAGTGAAGAGGATAAGAAAGCTCTTTGTGAGAAATACAAAATCAGAGAGTAGAATGAAATGGGATAAGATTGGGATGGAGTGGGAGTAGAGAACACTGGGGGGGAGGAGGACTTGGGAGCTAATTGGGCCCTTCCTCTAGCTGGGGAGATAGAATCTTTTGAATGAACAGTCACAAGAATATCAGGAACAAGCTGGGGGAGTCCAGCTGGACTATGTACAACCTCCAGCCACCAAACAAAAACGACCCCTTCAGGGAAATGAAAAGAGGTGCTAAGGTGAAGCTTTATTGAAGCTAGGGTTGGAAGCATAATTGCTCAAATTTAAATAGCAAGGAACTTTTTGGTTAAAGTTCAAAGCACTTTTCCACCCCTCACCTCAGGTCCAACCCAATCTCTCCCAAGGTGGCTATGGGTAAGTTACTTAACCTCTCTGTGTTTCTCACTTAGAGATTGGAGGTAACAATATTATGTTGTTGTTAAGTGCTGTCGAGTCGGGTCCGACCCATAGCGGCCCTGTATAGGATTTCTGAGACTGTAAATCTTTATGGGAGCAGAAAGCCTCATCTTTCTCCTGCGGAATGTGGGTAGTTTCGAACTGCTGACCTTGAGGTTAGCAGCCCAACTTGAAACCACTACGCTACCAGAGATTGTATAGAGGCAAAAAAGGTGGGCAATATTTTATATTTAAAAAATTATTTTTTTAGAAGAATCTAGACTACATTACCCATGGTGGGTGGGAGAGGCAGCTCCAGGGTTGGCTATGCTGGGACGTCCCCCTTTGCTAGGGGCTTTCTGCTAACATTCTCGGTAATCTTTCTCTGCACCGCTGGCACACGGGTGAATGGCAGGGCACATCACCAGAAGGAGAACGAAAGAGATCCCTTAGGAGTCTCCAGCAGTCTGTGGGAGAGAAGAGCGCCGCCCCCCGGCTTTCACTGGAGGAGGGAGAGGAGCAGAGGGGGAAAGGATTGCTTGTTTGTCTCTCGGAACACCCAGATAAGAATCTTTTGGCAAGTGAAGTTGCTTCTCGTTCTTCCCAGCGGCATGAGATCTAATTCGCAAACGCACCATCTTGCCTTCAACACTTAAATGGAAAACAAGCAACCCGGGGGAGGAGGCAGACAGGCCGCCGAACTCTGCAAGCCCGTTCGAGGGATTAGTGTTTCTTGAGTCTCTCACTTAAGGTCCAGAATCCACCCTAGGGAGGTTACAATTAAACACTGGGAGAAAACGGTATCAGGCTGGGCCTTAGGCCTTGCCAGTAAAATGGGAACTAAAATCTGTTTGTGAGCTCAGATTTTAAAGGGAGATACTATTTATTCCCGCCCCCCCCCACTGGAAATCTGGTTAAATTAGGGCCCCTCTTAAAGGTAACTAGCTTTAGAGGGCTCTGTTTCCGTTTTCTGTGTTTCTGTGGGCCGAACGCCCAGGTGGGTCAGCGAGTTTCTTTCTGGGTGGAATGACGAATTCCTCTCGCCCGAATTCTAAAATGATAACTTTGCTTAGTGCTGCAGCTGCGAACGTCTGGCGTCAAACGGCCCATTCCAGAACGTGGGGCAGCAGCGGGGGCAGAGGTGGGGGTAAGCGGAGACGCGGTGAGGTGGGTCTAGATGAAAATCCGGGAGAGCGACTAGGAGGGAAGTAACGCCTGCCCTTCTCGGCCTCGGCCCCTTTAAGTGCTTCACTGACTCAGCTAAGCTTCCCCCTCAGGTCGCGTTTTTTATGAATGAAAAACGTCCTTACATTCATTATATAAACAAGTCTATGCTGATTGGACAATGGCCCCCGGTGCATAAATTATGTAAAGCAGAATCCTGAGGGGGTGGGGAAGGACTAGCCCTTGCCCAATGGGGGTCGGAGTTGGTGGGGAGGCTCCAGTGGATTTGCCCGCAGACAGGGTAAACAAGAGGTGATGGACAACCGCGGGAGCGGCCTCGGGCCAATAGGAACTATGCTGGCTTAAGGCCGCGGGCCAATGGCGGCTGGCAAAGCGGGGGGTGGGGGGGGGGGCTGCGGGGGGCCGGGCCAGCGATCCAGTCTGGTTGGCAGCTGCGGCGCAGAGTCCAGCCGCTAGTGCGCGGAGAGGTTCAGCCTTTCTGGAGCGGTTCGGTCCAGCCTTTCTCCTAAGCACCCGGGGCCGGTGCGCGCGTGCGTGAGCGCGCCTGCGCCGCCAAGACCGCTGCTAGGAGCGGAGAGCCGCCGCCTCAGGTGAGGGGGCGTCGTGGGGCAGGAGACAGTGGAGCTAGGGCCAGGAGCAGGACCAAAGGGCCCAGTTAAAGAGAGTTCACGGGCTTATTCAATCCTTCAAGTCGGGTGCACTTTATGTCTAGGGTGAGCCCCAAGGCCAGACGCTCCCTCCTTCCGTGGCCCGGTCTGGTTCGTCCAGTTCGGCTTCTGGAAGGTGCCGGGCGTCTAACGGTTCCGGAGCGCCAGGAGTGGGTTTCCGCAGGTTGAGGAGGGGACGCGCCGGGCGCGAGGTGCGGGGGCTCCGGGGTAGGGATAGTGGAGGCTGGGCGCAGAGTTGCGGGTGTACGGTCTATGAAGATGTGAGCGCCCCGAGGGGACTGGGAGGCTCGCGAGAAGAGACACTGGTGAAGCTTTGCAGTTGGGAGGAGGGGGTGCGAAGCAGCTCCTAGGGGAATATTTGCGATGCGATGCCCCCGAAGCCTCGGGAAGGGTTAAGTGACACAGGCATGTGTAGCCTGCGGGATTGGGGGTCGGCCAGGAACTTAAGCAGGCCTTGCAAGTTTCAGGTTGTGGAAAGTGGACACTCACTCCCCCTCTCACCCTCCCCCACCCCACCCCACCCCCATCCCCCAGCTGACTGAGGGAGTCGGGCCGCGAGGCAACTGTCGAGAAATTGGGGAACATAAGAGCATCGGCCTGGGGATGGTGGAAAAAAATCCGGGAGGGGGATCAGAGTGATGCTGTGGAGCCCCGGAGAGGATTAGGGGTTGGCCGCGGTTCATGAAGGGAAGGGACCTGTAGTGTGTGTGTGTGTGTGTGTGTGTGTGTGTGTGTGTGTGAGAGAGAGAGAGAGAGAGAGAGAGAGAGACCGAACTCCTAGTCGAAAAGGGGGTGCCAGGGAGAGATGTTTGGTTTTTGGTGGGCGAGGGGGAGGTGGTAGCGCCGGCGCCGCAGCTCGTTTTAATGAATGTGGGTGATTTTATGAATGAAGCGGGTTTCTTTGGTTTGCTCGCTGCTCCCTGCGGCTGTTTTTTTTTTTTTTCCTCCCTTTCCCTTTTTGTGAATGAAGCATTGAGTTCGTTTCCTAAAACGCTGGGGTGAGAGGCCTGCGTCGGAGGCTGGGCGTGAGTTGGGGGTGGGGGTGGGGGCGCGTCCGAAGGAGTTTTCTTGCCTGGGGAAGGCTGGGAATTGGGTGGAAGTGTGTCTATTTTGTGAATGGGGCCCTGCGCACCGGATCCAGTTACAGCTTCTACCTGATGTGGCGGCCGCGGCTCGCTCTCCCATTCATAAAATCAGGCCCGCTGCGCGTCGCGGGGGAGGGGCCGCGATCGCGCTGCGCTGCCGGGTGCGAGTTTTCTTGGGGACACTGGCGAGGGTGGGGGGCCAACAAAGGGAGTGGTTTAAGCTGCGGGATGAACTCGAGCCAGCACTACAGGCTTTTTTTTTTTTTAATTACACTTTGAAAACAGTTTTTCTAGCCCTGGAACTCCTGAGAGAGCTGCATCAAAGATTCTCAGTACCTCTTTTGGGTTCGTTTATATTTTTTATTAAAGATCATTTTTGTTTTCCATGGTGGAGTGTTTTGCTGCATATTTCCTCATGAAGCTGAAAATATCTCCCCCTCCTGTCTTCCATCCCCCAGCAGACATTTACAGAATTTTTAAGGCTACTAGTTAATATAACAGAATTTTTAAGCCTATAGAGAGGGCTGGTTTTCGTGCCCCTCAGTCAACTGAGTTTGCTCTGATTTTGCTTACAGGTTGGTGGCGTTTGAGCGAGGGAGGGAGGCTTTATTCTGAACGTTTTGGCGCTGTTTGGAAAGCACAAAGCAGGCTGGCCGGGAGTGTTTTTCTAGGAAGTTAGGAACTGTGTGTTATTTCACTTCTCTCTCTTTGACTTTGAAAATATCTGATTACTTAGGCTAAAGTGCTGAGAGGAGGCTGCCTGTGAAAGGGTTTCCTTGTACCCTGCTCACTTTAAAATATTTTATATGCTCCACAGTGTGAAAAACAGAATTCAATGGAATTGCTTTTTGGAAAAAAAGTTACCTCTTAAGATTTTTATGCAAGTGAAACAAAAGTCATCTTATATATATATATATATACTTAGAGTTTGGGATGAATGGAATTAATGTTTTGTGCCCCCCCCCGTCCCCATTTTGTTGATATAACTGTATTTTTATTTGGAAAATAAAACCGTATTTGGGAAGATGGAACCTTTGTAAAACTATCTCTTATATAAGATAAGCTCTCTCTCTCTCTCTCTCTCTCTCTCTCTCTGACTCTTTCGACCCGTGGCTTCAATCCCCAGTCCCAACACTTGCCAATGCTAAAATGTGTTGTTTTTAAATGGGATCGGGGAGGACAGTCTGGGGAAATTGACTAAACTGTAGGAAACTAATGGAACTTTTTTGGGGGGGGATCTTTTTCATTTAGTGCATTTTTTGCATTTAGAATATGTGTAGTGGATGTAGTTTTCTTTATCCATTACTTTTGAAAGATACCAGAGGGCTTCAAAAGATTCTTGCAGAAATTTCATTATCTTTTAATTTCATTTTTCCATGAACTTTTGAAGCCCTCTTGTATTCAGTTCCTTTATAAGTTGGAGATTTGATAGCTCTGTAGTTGCCATGGAGATATTTTTGACATTACATCCATTGCACCTATATTTGGAAGAGTTATGTGTGAAGATAGTGTGCCTCTCTGATCAATATATTCCTGGAATTATCGCCAGTATTTTATCATTGACCTACAAAGTACTTTTGGAAACATTATGTCAGATTTTTCATTGTCTATAACTTAGAATACTTAAACCTAGTTTCTCTATTTCCTGTCAAAAATGTAATCATCTCTTAAAAAAAAAAAACCCAAACATAACAAATACCCTGAAAGATCAACTGTATGAAACAATCTTGAAATCACCCTTTTATAATTAAAAACAACTTTTTTTTTTTCAAAGAGAAGTAGCAAACCTACACCTCCACAGGTCATTTAGTGACTGTCTTATGATCTGACCTTTTTGTTCATTAATGATGAATGTCTGGCAGTAGTGAACACGAGGGTGAGTTGGTTGTGATAACAGTGGTTTTGTGTCAGCTTGGCTGGACCATGAGTCTCAGTGGTTTGTCAGTTATGTAATATAATTTGGCAATTATATACTAATATAGTCATCCTCCACTTTGTGATTTGATATGTTCATCCTCCATTTTCATATAAAGCAGATTGTCCCATAAGGACCTGGTCTTTGAAAACCTAATCATATCAATAATTGAGGCAGTGGTTGTTAAGTGCCCTTGAGTCAGTTCCTACTCTTAATGACCCTGTATATGGTTTCTGAGGAGTAGCTGGTGAGTTTGAACGCTGACCTTGTGGCTCAGTGCTTATTCCACAGCTTCACACCAGGATGCTCATCAAGTTAGATGGTGGATATGTGCCCTGGCGTCGGTTCCGACTCATAGCGACCCTGTACAGGGTTTCCGAGGCTGTAAATCTTTGCGCTAGCAGAAAGCCTCATCTTTCTCCCGCCAAACAGCTAGTAGTTTCAAACTGCTGACCTTAAGTTTCACAGCCCGATTCTTAACCATTACGCTACCAGAGGTGCTTAATAAATGAGGAGTGGGAGTTAATCATAATTGATCCAGAGAGAGAAAAGACATAGGTATAGTGTGCTCATTTGATGCTCTTAGTTAAATTTGGTGTTAGTCTGTAAAATGTACACTTTTGTTGTTGTTAAGTGCCGTGGAGTTGGTCTCTGCACAGGGTTTCCGAGGCTATAAATCTTTATGGGAGCAGAACGCCTCATCTTTCTCCCGCGGAACTGCTGGTAGTTTCAAACTGCTGACCTTGCGGTCTACCACGCTGCTATAAATAGTTTAGAGACAGGTAATGATTTTGCTCAATTCTAAGAAAAAAGCATTACATGGAGGCTTCAAAAAGTTCTATTATTTTAAATTACATTTTCCTGTGAACTTTTTGAAGCACCCTCCTATAAAATTAATCTCTTCTGTTTTTTCACTTAAAACCTTCTATATTTATATTACAGGAGGACCCTTCTCCGCCCGTCCCCCCCCCCTCAGAAATTACTCAATGCTGAAACCTTTCAAAGTGATATTAGAGAACTTGAAATCACCATGGATGGGTTTTATGATCAGCAAGTCCCTTTTATGGTCCCAGGGGTAAGTTTATGTGGCTTTTGATTTGGCTTTCTTCTTCAAATATGAATCTTCTCCTTATCGGTTTAGTAGTACGGCCCCCTTTGGACCCTTTTATTACACTTTAACTTCATTGTTGGCTTCTTTCAGAAATCTCAGTCTGAGGAATGTAGAGGTCGGCCTGTGATTGACAGAAAGAGGAAGTTTTTGGACACAGATCTGGCTCATGATTCTGAAGGTAGTGAAGCTTTCCCCTTCTTATGGTATAGCTTCCTCAAATCACTCCCAGGATAAATGAGCATATAGACTCTTGTTTCTCGTACAAGAATTTCTCTCATTTTGGTGCCTTCTGTTTTTAATTCCAGAGCTGTTCCAAGATCTCAGTCAACTTCAAGAGGCTTGGTTAGCTGAAGGCAAGTTTCTTGGCTGTCCTATTTTCCATATAAAACATTTTACTGTGCTTTTTAAAAATAAAACGTAAAGGTCTAAAATAAAAATCTTTTTTGCAGCACAAGTTCCTGATGATGAACAATTTGTCCCAGATTTTCAGTCTGATAACTGTAAGTACCTTTCTAGTGGTAGTATATTTGTTCTGAAATTTGTTTGGTCATGGATCATCCATGTCCAGTATATTCTTTGCAGCTATAACCTGCAGATTTGGAATGAGTTTAAGGTTGAAGTGGTTTTTTTTTGGTTTTTTTTTCCGGAGTTAACTCTGAAAACTTTTATCTCATTCCATATTGATATTATTTGTAAGTGCTTTATTCCATTGCAGGTAAGATTACTGAACATAATTCATCCTGTTTCTTTTTGCCCAGGAAGACTAAATGCAAGACTTCAAGTGCAAAGTTACAAATTAATGGGTATTCCATATCAGATGTTGGGCTGAACTTCTACAAATCAAACATTGTCATACAGCATTTTGTTTTATAAATTAAGTCCTGAGTGCAAATGATGAACATGCCCTGTTTCTTTCTTATAAAAGTGCAGAAGAAAATACTTAATGGAAGATTCTAGTTAATTGGGGTTTCACCTGATGGGATTGCTGATTTTGCTGATGATTGCTGATTTTGTTTCCAAGTTGAGAAAGGGTGATCACTTGCTCTAATTTTTCATGTAGTTCCTGTGACTTTACTATTCAGAGAAGAGTTTTAAAAAAAAACTGTTTCTTTATCTCATTACTTGAGATAACACAATGCAGTGGGTTGGACAAAAGATGCTCTCAATGCTGGTGGTGGCATGGCTAGATTTGTACTGATCTTTCAGGGCTGCCCTCAACAGGTTTGGGAGCTTTTATGGTCTAGGCAGAGAGCTATCAAGGACAAAGCTTGCTGATGAAATTTGAGCAGCACAGGGCCGCTCTAGAGAGCATTAGTCACTGACGAATGAGCAGGTTTAAGAGAGGCCTGGAGAAAATGCTGCCTCTCTTGAGAGTTGCATCATACAGAAATGCATGTCTCTTAGTCATAGTTTATAATAGCAAGCACCTGAGCCAGGCAAGGATACGATTTCTCATTTTGCACCCAATAAATTCTTCCCAGCTTTGTTTCATCTTGGGGGTGGGGGTGGTGTGTGTATGAGCGTGTGTATGTGTGTGTGTGTGTAAGTCAGTGAGTCAGTCACTGGAAGAGAGAGTATATTCAGGTCTAAATAAAAGCTGGGTGTTCTAAATCGTTAATTGAAAGAATGGAGGTCCCAGCTAAACATTCTCTAATGATAGGCCTGATTTCCAAGGCACATTGCCATGAGACTTTAAAAGGGAATAAACTGTACCTTAACAGATGCATGGTTACCTTAGCCTTGTCGCAGCTTGCTGTGGAAGTTTTCTATAGGAAAGTAAATGCATGTTAATTATTGCCCTTTGATTGCTTTCAAGTTATTGGGAAGCTTGCCACTGAAAGGCTAAATAAAGACAACCCAAATTGTGTGTGTGTGTGTGTGTGTGTGTGTGTGTGTGTTTGCAAGATGAAAGACAGAGGATTTGTAATCCTGCTTTGTTCTGTGTTGACAATTTGGCCCAGCTTTTCCATGTCTTGTTCTGAGCAGCATAAACTACAGTCTGTTTGTGAGATGGCTTTCTTGGCAGAGACTCTTTGAAATGCTTTTATGACACTTTTGTTTGTTTCTCTGTAGCCCAAAGAGTTAAAGGGGAGGTGAGATGACTGCATTCAAATTGATTTCATGTGCTGAAGCAAGGGCATGTTCTTTAGAGAAAAATGTCAGCAAACAGGATTTATAGCTGCAGAGATATTTATCTGGAGAAATTAGCTAATGTGAAGGGAATCAATAAATGTGTTTTGGCTCCCTAGAAATAATTCCTGCTCAGCAAATAGAATGTGCTTAAATTGTTTAATTAAAAGGAAACAAATAAAAAACCCCAAACTCAATACTATTGAGTCTGTTCTCACTGTAGGACAGAGCAGAAGTGCTCCATAGGTCTCCCAAGGCTGTCAGTTCTTAAGAAAGCAGACTGCCGCATCTTTCTTCAACGGAGTAGCTGATGGTTTTGAACCATTGACTGATCGGTTAGCAGCCAAGAGTTTTCACCGCTGCATCACTTTGGGAGATGTTTCTGCTTGCCAAGCATAATGTGTGTTTTTTACTTTGTTTGCTTTTTGCTTTAACTTAAGGTTGAGTTTTCCTATGTTTTAAGGATAAAACAGATGGTGGAGTAGCCTAGAAAAGCCTTTAAATAATTCTTTTTCCCTCTGTGACTCAGATTTCTGGAGGTGGAGCTTAGAAAGGCTAACTCCCAATAGATAGACTTGTTTAAACGTTAGGCTGGAACACAAATGGAAGGTGGTGTGCCTTTGAGCCATTAGTTCTTGCTGTTGTGTTGGACTTGCAGTTCAGGCTGATAGTGCAGAGCACAGTACAGCCGGCTGAGTGACTCCTGTGCTGGGCAGCAGACTCCTTTTCAAGGAGCATTTCACAGCCTTGTGTGGAGATAAGCTTCCACTCCAGTCATCTTCTGGAAGAGCCCATGATTACACCAGGGGAGGGGGAGAAACTTAGTCAAACCTACTGAAGCCTTTTGAGGTGATTTGAATCACCCAGGCAATGAACCAAAAGCAAACTTCCATTTACTGGGTAAAGCAAACCTCTTTGCTAAACTCTGATTCTATAATCTCAGTAGCAGGAACATTTTAAAACAAATGTTCTTCTGTCCTCCTGTGGGTAATAGCCAAGCTTTCCTGTTAACAATGATGAGATAATTTTCTTCTTTTTTTTCTTTGGTGTGTGTGAGAGAGCGCGAGAGGGTAAGCCAGAGACAAAGTAATATGGAAAGCCATTTTTATTTTGGAATAGTGGTGATTTGAAGATTATGACTTACTTTTTTTGGTAAACTACAGCTCAGTGTCTAAAGAGATTGTATTTTATAAATTTCCCAGATCTATTTCCTGCCCATAGGCATTTATCTGAATTAATGAGACTATTGTTCTCATAAATCTTTATAGATAATCCCAGTCTACTTCTAGCTATACAATTTTCACCTCTACTTCAGAAATGGAGACATTAGTAAAGTATTCCTTGTTTGGAAACCTTAAGGTTAAATCCAAAGGTTTAAAAAAGTATAGCCTAAAGACCATAGTGGGGTTTGCAGGTGCTCCCCCATTGTCCCTTGGTCCTGAGAAGTAACCCCAGAAAGGCCAGATTGTTTGAGCTTGAAGGTCCCTTTCACAGAAGTTCTTATCCAACTCTTTTTTACAGAGGGGATAATAGACAGTCCAGAGAGCTGGAGAGGACTGAGGCCAGGAGGGAGAGGTAAAGTGAAATGAGAAACAAAGAATATATACATATATTAGTCACACACACATGAAGGGGCTTCAGAAAGTTTGTAAGAAAATTCCATTATTTAATTCCATTTTTCCACATACTCTTTGAAGGTCACATACAGATTAGTAGGTAAATAGATAGATAGGTATATTGTTGTTAAGTGCCATTGAGTTGTTTCTGACTCAGCAATCCTGTATAAGGTTTCTAAAGAGCGGCTGGTGAGTTTGAACTGCCAACCTTGTGGTCCAGTGCTTATCCTACGGCTCCACAGCAGGACTCCAGATAGGTGTATAGATACTTAGAAACAGCCCTTGGGAAAGCCAAAGCTTTAGGGAGATTGCTGGCTGGCCAGTCCAAAACCTCAAATCTCTTCCTTTTATGATCCAGAGCAAATTTTTAAACAACTTGGTGCTTTGAATTTTTCCACCTAAGATTTGAAAGAGAGAGAGAGAAAACAAAATGATAAAGACTGATGCTTCGTAGAAAACATTAGTATGCATATAGATAATGTCCATAAATTGTTTGTAGCTAATATGTATATGAGCCATGGTGTGACGCTGTGGGTTAATGCGCCAGACTGCAAAGCCATTTGAACTGCAAGATTGGCAGTTCAAGCTCACCAGCTACTCCTCGGAAACCCTATACAGGGTCGCTATGGGTCAGAACCAACTCGACGGCAGTTCACAACAACAGCAAAAACAATATGTATATGAACATATAGAGCCACCAAACCAGGGGATCTGGGTCAATAAACAGATAATGTTGTTGTTATGTGCCATCAAATTAGTTCCGACTCTGATAGGGTTTCTGAGGATTATCTGGTGGGTTTGAACTGCCAACCTTATGGATAGCAGTCCAGTGCTAATCCTTCAGCGCTACAACAGAATGTGTACAAACAGCTTTCATACACATTTTCATATCAAGGCCTTAGCTGAGATGGAATGCAGGATACTTAGACTTCGGGAGAAGGGTGTTACATTTTTCTGAACTGACTGATGGTGAGTTCAAGGAAAGTGATAGATGTTATTATAGATAAATAACAGTTTTGTGTGTTTCTAATAGAGTTTTTAATTATAACTTTAGTGGGAGGGGATAATAATTTTCTTTTTGCTATGTTCTGATTTTTTGGAATTACATTTGTTTCAGTTACGGTATTGTGAACCTATCAGCATCTTGAGTAACTTAAGATATTCATGCAGAGCAGAAGGCATGATCTGTCATGGCTTCCATACCACATCCAATTTAGAGAATTGTGTTAAAACCCAATGATCCTGTTTTCCCCTTGAAGTGTTCTTTTAGATCTATGTTTTCAAAAGAGTAAAACGACTGGAGGAAGTACATGCAATTTCCTAAGAACTGGCTAATTAAACTGATAAGATCGACTTTTCATAAATACATTGCAGTAGATGGCTGGGAAAACTGGAGAAAGTGTCACAATAACTCTTGAGCCAAAACACATGGATCATAATCCTATTTCAATATGAGATTATTCAGCCAAATTAAAAAAACAAAACAAAAACAAAAAACATTTATTGTAGTTTATATCATAGAAGCAGCTCCTTCCTTTTTGAGAGTACTCATCTTTTTGGACTCAGATACGATGTAGTTAAACCTCCACGTTTACTTGTTCTGTGGTCTTGAGTCCATTTCTGTTTGCAAGACCCTCCTTAAAGTCATTTCGTTTTTGGAAAAGTAAGAAAGAAAACTGTTGGCGCTTTTAAGAGGCTTAGAGAAGTGAGAAATTAAGGATATCAGCAATTAATCCTTTTCAAGAGCCAACTGT